TGATATTGATGTGATCTAATTACACACAGGGCACATTCAGGGAGGCATTGCAATATGAGGCATTTCTTGTATCAACAATGTTAAGGCAATCTATTTAGTCTTTTTGCCTCTTTTGCAATGGATCTTCAACTACAAAGGCTCATCTTCTTTCTCTCCAGCTGACAGATCCGTTTCCCCAATGACATTTCTTTGAATACAAATACACGCACGCACACACGCACGAACACACACACATGAAACACACGTTGACGCAGCATAATAATAATACTTGCCAAATGCCTATTAAAGCTTCATATTGGATAAACTCCACTTTAAAATGTTGGAGTTCAAAATCTTGCAGCAAATGATCACTGATCTAATGAAGGCTTACTCACTCACTATATTTAAAGCTTACTAAAAGTCACCGAAAGTAAACAATCCTCAATGCCAACACATAAAAAAAGGATCTGTGTCTCAAACCTTAATATGAGTCAACACCTGTTAAATTCATCGTCGTTGAAATTACATTTTTACTATTTGCTGTGTTTATTGTTGACGCTAAGGACATATCAGGGTAACTTACAGTTTCTGTATTTAAGGCCTATCATGTGTACTATTTTAACCTCATCAAGTAATTTGAGTACACATGAATGTGTGCAAATCTGCCAGTTAGGGCTGTTTATTACGTTTATATATATATATATTTCTTTTTAATAATCTGTGACTGTACCTCAAGGTTTAAACAAAGTATAAAATATAAATCTAGATAAGCGGCCTGTAGTTGTTTTTGGATATGGTTGGCAGTAGCTGGAGGTTGCATGGTTCACATGTTTATTCAGTTGCTGCTCTGTTTTCTCAAAATCACACTGATCCAATTACACATGTGCACATTACAATGAGAAATGTCTCCCTCTGCTGGTAAAGATACAACTCTGCATTTACGTATCAGTTCACATATTTAACCGGCTTATTCTGTTTGAGCTACCAATTCTGATTATTATAGTCTCCATTTCCTCATTGATGATTGCTATCTGCACCTGATTTCTAATCTACTTACTCTTGGTCAAAAATATTTCCAAACCTCCCAAATCAAGCAGATACAGGGTGGCATTAAAAGACTTGGGTTGCAAAATTAGGTGAAATAAAAAATCCTTTGTTTTCTAGTTCAGAGCCAACTGCCAGAAGCTCTTACCTTAAGTGTAACTCATTACTCGGTTAGCTTCCCCTGTCACAGTTAACCAGATCATCCTACATTAAAGAAAATGAGAAGTGCAGCAATTATAGGAAAAAGAAAGAAAATAGGATCAAATTTGAAAGCCTTTTAGACATGGAGGAAAGCTTGGTTACTGTGGAATTTAACTGAAGGGGCTTTGTGCTCGGTATATAATAGGCAATATATCTGGATGATATTCGAGCTTTCAAACATTCATTGTTCATATATTATAATTTGTTTGCCATGCCAGCAGCCGAGGGAGAAACCAATACAGGTTGATGGAATGTTTTTAAGGCTTTTTATAGTCAGTCTCCAACATTCATCAGAAATGGATGCCATTCAATGCAGGTACATGTTAACAATATTAAAATAATGTATGATGAAACTTGCTTGCTAGTTGTTAAGGATCACATTTTTGTACAATTTAAACGATTGGTATTTATATCTGCTGAATCAAAACTGTGACCAACATAATTAACAAAAACGACCAGTCTCTTTCCCCCTGGATCCTGTCTTTGTATAAATCCCTTTTTTGTAATGCTTCTTTGTCAAATTAACTTAACCTTATCAAAAATGATGTTTTAATTTCTCAAAGATTAGTTTTGAAGCACTTTTATGTGAAGCATGTTTTGTGAAATATCTTTTCTTCTCATTGCATCAGGCCAGCAGCTGCTAATGTTTTTCATTGCTTGGCTTTTTCCTGCAGTAAAATAGATAAATAAAGAAAACACACACACACATACACACACACACCCTTCACCTCTAGACCACACATTCAGATGATGCCCACCATGTGTCCAGCCTGTTAGCAGAGCAGAGCCTCAGTAACGGTGTAAGAAGCCACTCCTCAGTATGAGTGTGTTTCTATCATGCTGGCTCAGCCTCTTCTCTCTGTTCCCCCCCGCTGCCAGAAAATGCAAACATGTCTGCCCTCCTCTTATCAGCCGGGTCATTGACAGTCAGAACACACACAGAACAACTCAGGCATCCGCACTAGCTCTAAAAACACAGAGCTTCTCTTAAAAAAAATTATTGAAAACATCTTGTATAATAAAAAAGATATGAACAATGAAAATGGTAATATCTATCTATGAAATCTAATATTCACACACTATTAGCTGTTTATGACTCCCCAAGCTCCTTTAGAGAAACAGCAGAAACTCTTTACCTGCTAAATGTTTAACTATACTCCCCAGCTGGTCACTAACTGTTGTTATGCAGTGTGATGCTGAGCAGGTTGTGAATACTGGTGGGTTTATAAAAGCTTCTTAGCTGAAACAACAGCTTTCTGCTTCTGAAAACAAAGTTGATGAGAGTGCTCAGGATCCTCTGCCATATTAAAGGAGCAGGCTTTAAAACGAAAACAACGACCTTGAAAACACTGAAACACTCAGTCAGGTGATCATTTGTTATGCGTATATTACTGCAAGTGAGTTCTGTAACCATAGTAAATTGATACATTTTTAATACAGCTTACAGTCGCTTTAAAGAAACATATTCGGCCTGTTTAAAAATGTGAACAGATATCCAATTCGGCTTAAATAGTTCTGTCTCAAAAACTTAAAAGCTATACCTTCTTCTCCCCCTGCTATCTCTGTCCTCAGGCTTGCCCAGAAGCCTGGCCGCTGGTGTAGGCCTCCCAGTGAGAGACGCTGCTTCATGCTCTCTCTTTATTGAAGAATAAAGTCAGTAATACAGCCTGGACAGCTAGCAACTCCTGCGTGGGTGTTCTTGTAACACAGCAAACTTGTTTAGACAGCAGAATAACTGATCAGCTTATTATCCATGCCGTTTTAAGTTTCCCTTTTTGCACTTATGGAGGGAAATCGGTTAGTGACAAGATTTACATCCTAGGAAGCAAGAAGGATACCGGTGGGATAAAACGGGGAGAAATTTGTTTACCACACAGATATTGGTTATGTGGTTTGACAGGTGGGATTTATTAACTCCACAATCTAATGTGGTAAAGCCCTCCCAAAGCATGCGCTGTAATCCCTGTGGGACCCTTCATAACTCTGTCTGCTGTGCCTCACACACTCAGGGGCTGTAATAATCTCTAACTGTACTCTGCGAGCACATATTTCTTTCTCTCTCCATTTCTCAGCTTGTCTGCTTCTATCTGTCTGCTTCATTCACACAGTCACATCATCCGCGCTGCACTTTCACAGCCGCCGCTCTTGTCTTTATTCATTCTTTACACATTCTCACTCTGTTCTCCGTGCTGCTTTCTGACCCAAACAGCTGGCTGTGTAGGAGGTGCAGCTTTCCTCTCCTCCTCCACACATAAACACATCTTTGAGTCTCGGATCCTGGTAGACTGATCTCATCTGAGCAGGATCATGTGGTGTTTCTGGTTCCTCTGTGTTTAATACTGCCTGCTTAAGATGGTACGCCCGTAGGCATGGCCGACCCCTCTCTGTTCCCCCTCTCAGTTGCCCTCTGCAGGGGGCTTTCGGTCAATCTTTCCACGTCGTTGCATATTGTACAGCGCTCGACCGTCTAAGCCCTCATCACATTGGTTAACCCCCCCCACAGACTCTCAGCCCCCCAGGCAGCTCCAGGCCTTCACCCTGACCACTGCCTCACAACTCATGACAAGCACATGATGTGAGAATGGCCATGGCTCAGGTATTAACTGAGACAAAATGTGAAAACAGAGAGACAAAAGGATAAAGGCAAGCTTGTTGCACTTTTTCTATTGCGTTGCGTTTTTTCCTCAATATCAGTCCTTCTATTTTTAACACACCGAGTTCCACACAGTGAGGTAGATGTTGGATGCTATAATCTGTACCCTCCCCTCAACAACTGCTCTTAAAAAACACACATATAGAAACACTCTGTAAATACTGGTTGATGCGCTGCTGACCGGCAAAAGAGAAACAGCAGGGTGTGCTTTAGCTCCCTGATGCAGCGGCCTGAGTATTAGTATCATTCAGACAGACGCTTTATCAGGAGTGGACAGACTTTTGTGTCACATGCAGCTTAGCAGAATTTGATGACATTTACTTTCATGGTGATAATACAAATTGTTAGTGGAAAATCATGTGCTGCGGATTTTGAATACATATTTTGAGTTTGAAAGTGAGCATACTTGTAAAGCATGGGGTCTGTTATGTGCTTGTGTAAAGACTGCCATGATGTTTTGCTGTATGCAAATGGAATGAACATCATTGAAGTTGCTTATTCTCTGGGGAATTAATTCTTTTCCATCCTTCCTGTGTCTTTTAACAATTATTCTCATCATTTCAGGTTCTTGAACTCATGTTTTTACTCCCCTCTGTTGTATCATCTTCTCATTCAAATAATTCCCATTACACAAGGAGCCTTTTTCTTCTCATACTTGTTTGGTAAATGTAGTTGGTTTATTTAAACAATATATATACTGTATCTCTGTCGTAGCAACAGCTTGGTGTGCTGTAGCCACTTTCTTTTCCATGTTTCTTCGTCAATTCATCTTTTGATTAGAGAACAAATTGCTTCCCTACACGTACTCTCCCCCCTCTGTGGGGAGACGCAGGGGGGCTCCAGATCCCCGCTGGCACCCCTGAAGACTCTCCTCTTTTCTTCATTCTGGGTTTATCAAAGTAGAAGCTTCATCAAGAATCTGTACTGTATTCAGCCCTGTTCATATTACAGCACAGTAGTTTAGTGTGAGAGGATGAGAGGGCTTTAATGTTATTGCATCGCTCAAGAGGCAGCAAGAATACTTAACTTTGAACCAAGATAAAGATGATAATATGTTGAAATCAGTTCTCTCTGTAATCGTTTGCCTTTCTTTGTCTCTTCCTCTCCTGCTGTCTCCCCACAGAGACCTTTGAGGCTTTGATTTGGCAGGCTGAGAATCACACCAATGTGGTTCTCCAGGCGTCGTACCGCAGCATGGCTGATCAGGCTGTTGGCCCGGTGCGGGAACTCTTCACAGACATCAGTCTCTTCCTGCTGGGGTCTGAGCTCAGCGTTGATGACTTGGTGCATCGATTCTTTGATGCACTCTTCCCACTGGTCTACAATCACCTCATCAACCCTGGCCTCAGCGACATATCACCGAGCTACGCTGAGTGCGTGAGGTCGTCCAGGCGGGATGTGAGACCGTTTGCCGCGGCGCCCGGCCTCCTGGCTGATCAAATCGCTCGCTCTGGGGTGTCTGGGAAACTTCTGATTCAGGCACTGCACCTGGGCATTGAGGTCATTAATACAACAGACCACTTACAGCTGAGCCGCGAGTGCAGGCGGGCCCTGCTCAAGATGCACTACTGTCCTCACTGCCAGGTATGGATGCAGATCTCTGAAGCCAAGTACATTGATCTGATGTAAGTCTTTTTCAGCATTACTGATCATAAAGTAATTTGCTCCACAGGGCTTAACCCAGTCCAAGCCCTGCATGGGTTACTGCCTCAACGTGATGCGAGGCTGTTTGGCAAGCATGGCAGAGATCGACAGCCACTGGAGAGAGTTCGTCCACTCGCTGGAGGGCCTGTCAGCGCGGATGCAAGGGCCTCAGGATTTGGAGCAAGTGCTTCTGGGAGTTCACACGCTGCTTCATGATGCTGTCGGACATGCCCAGAAAAATGGGCCTCGCCTCTCTGCACAGGTCAGATCCTCTTTAAGGAGAGATTAAGCACTGTTTAAGATGGTAGACTCGAAGCTGTTCTAGGGCTCTGTGGGAGAACATAGGAACCACCAGTCAAGTGGACAAGAATAGATAAAGTACAAGGTATTTTTGTTAATATTGGAGTGTTTTTACTTTGAATCTCAAGGCTATTCCAGCTGCCAGCTCCATACTAAATGGTTTGAGGTGTGGAGACCAAAGATAAATTGCACAAGTCACACACAACAATTTAGTCAGACCGGAGCAGGCCAAAATATGTCCAGAAATACATCCCCAAGGCGCTCAGAATTGTTGTAGTTAGACTGTCAGACACGGGAGGATTCAGTGTCAACAGCCACTCTTCAGTTTGGGCCAATGAGTGTAAACCTAAGGAGTCTTTATTCTTAACACAAGTGATCTATCAAAGCCTAACCATAAAGTATTTGTTTATGTACTAAATGTAACTTTCTGTTTACATGTATGTTGCTTGTTTAGTGAATGCCTCAGGATGTTTGTCCCTGAACCACACTAACATTCCTGTTCTGATGAAGACCCCACATCTCCATCTAGTGGCTGTCTGGTGTCTCTGCTGCTTGATAAGATTCACATGAAATACATTTAGAAATTTGAGATGATAGGCTTGGCTGCACTAATGGCCTTGGTATAAACAGCTGTCATTCCAGCATCTGTAATGAGGCCTATTCGTCATGCACCAGTACAATTTTCCAAGACTTAAAATGCAGGGTTCTCCCTCAGTGTTTAGGCCTAAATCTGTGCCTGTCTCTTCGGGTAATAGGTGCACAAACTGTGTGGCGCACCGAGCAGAAGGTCTGCGCAGTCAGTCAGCATCCAGCACAGCAGCCGGGACTCCATCCCTCTTAAAGCTGCGCTCAGTGGATCCGGGGACACGCTGGCTGTGAGGAGGAGGTACGTGGGTTAAAGAATGAAGCGTCATTTTGTGATATTAGTACGTAAGCCTACTATAAGTAACCCCCCCCCCCCACACACACTTTTTCAGGGACTTTCTAAACAGCTTACGCCTCTACCGTACGTTCTACGGTGGCCTGGCCGATCAGCTGTGTGTGAGTGAGCTGGCCTCCGGTGACGGGCAGGCCTGCTGGAATGGAACCGACATCGTAAAAAGGTGTGTGTGTGTTTAAAGAAGTCAAGGGGTCACTTAAGTCATGTGGATGTTTGACATTCACTGTGACACAAAGAAGGCTGTTTTTACCTTCCTCTGCTGAGGGGGAAATAGTCTCTAAGCTCACATTACATAGGTATATTCGTCAAAACTTGTTTGGGAGTCCTGATCCAATACACTGAGAATGGACTTTTCAGTAATGTCAAAGATTATTTAGGTTTTAATTTTTTGAAGTAAGCTTTTCTTTTACATGAATAGTTCTCATTTTGTAGATTTAAAAGAAAATGTGTGAGGTAATATTGTGCAATTGTGCATCTCTTTTTTGTAAATGTGATGTCTTATTTAAATAAAGGGAAGTATGTTTGAATGACAGAAAGACATCACTCTAACCAGCGATGAATTTAAGTGAATGCTACCTTTGTAATATATGGTAAATGTTGGTAGTGGCAGGCAGAAATCGTATGTCACCTACTACCACCATGGCAGAAGGGGTTTCCATATATTAAGACATATTATTTTTATTTTCCTATGTATATAAAGTAAATGATTGAGGTTACATGACACCCATTTCTGCATTCGGCAACACTGACTTTTTACCATTTTAAATCCTTTAAAATGGAAAAAAATGTCAGGATATGTAAGTGACCTGCCGCACTGGCAGATATATGACAAATCAGACCCTGACTCAACAGATAAACATCCAACAACTATACATATTGGGTTTTAAAGGGCTTTCCTTTGAAGGGTTTCAGCTCCAGAGACATATCACTGTATGATCCTGGAGCAAAGGCTGTTTGCACACCATTTGACCCTGATCTAATGCACATACACACACCCTTCACATACACAGTGCCCTCAGGAACCGGATGACACCGATGTAGGATTCATCTATTAACCGGTAGTGCTCTCAGACATAGATCTTGGATATGAATGGTTGTGAACTGGAGCAGACAAACTGGTCTCTTTGGTAGTATCAGTCAGCGGCCTTGTCTCCATTACATCACGACTCTCCATCCTACCCATGCTGTCATCACTCAAGGACCCCCTCATATATCCGCAGTCTGTGGTGGTTCCTCTTAACTGTCAGCCTCTTTCAGCGCTGTAGAAATGGCAAGTGGACCCGTATTTCAAACAACAGCGAGGTGGAAGTTGCCAGTTCAGGTTAGACGGCCCATTGTAAAGGATGACAGCCTTGTTGAGATCGTTTCACAGCGGCTGTGTGAAGGTATAAAAAAGGAGGGAGGACCGGGGGAAGAAAGTCTTTCACAGCCTTCATAGCAACCAGAGACACTCTGAAGTATGTGATATGCTGTTCTTCAAAAATTGCATTACTATGGAAACGGAGTATTGAGGTTAAGTTTCATTCTACCGTTGACAATTTGCACTTTTTATCTTTTGTTATTTTCCAACATAACACCTCAAGTTTCCATTACAAAGCAGGCAGCCATCTCTGAGAACAGAGATGTTTCTTATGTGCTGGCGAGAGAGGCAGGCCAGCAGGCTGCCGACTGTCTGTCATCTCTGCAAGCCGCCTCCGGGAAAAATGTTTATGGTCTGTGCGGGCTTCTCTCAGCTCCTAACCTGCCTTCCTCTTTTTCTCATTCACTCTCACACTTATTTATAGGGACTCGCTCACCTCAGGTTCACCCATAGGTTCTCATTTTGATTCGCTCATTACCCAAAAAAACAGATGAAGAAAGCTAAGGGGAATTGTGAGACATTAAGAAACTGGGGAGACGAGGCTCTGAGGAGGCTATCGAGCTGCGGCCCCGCAGCTTAGCAGGCTTCCTGCAGATCTACAACCCGGTGCTGCTTTCTATTAGCCTAGAACCATAGGTGAACAAAAGCAATAAATAACCTCCTGCCTACGGGTCATAACCCAACATCCACTGAGAGAGAGGGAATAAAACTCACCGCCGGATGGTGGCTGATTTACAGAAGCTTATCGAGGCCTCTGAGACTTTAAACGATTGGTTCAGTGTGTGTTTGTGCTTGTGTGTGAGAAACTGTACATTTGAATGTGTGTGGAAGACAACGGCTCTTTGTGTGTGCTGCCGCAGATTGTTTTATGGTCTGAAAGTAGTGAGTTGCACCAGAGCTTTGTCTTATTTAATAAAGAAAAAAGACAGGCACAAAAAAAACATGGCACAGGAGTCTGAGATTGAAGGGAGATTTAATGCACATCCTCATCTGGGTCCCTGGTAAACAAAAAGATAAAAAACAATCAGATAAGATCAGAGAGGAAGAACACAAGCTGCTTTCATCTCAATGTCTGTGTGAGTGTGGATGATGGGGTCTCGCTTCAGGGGACATTTGGTAAACACATTCTTTCTATCAGTCTCTCTCTCTGGCGCGTCCCTCGCCATGACATTCAGAATGGGAGGAAAAAAAGATTGGACATTATATTTTCTGATTAGTGTTATGGCTTATTAACAGTTTTCTCTTCTTTTGTGACAGTCCATGATCCCACACTTCTGCATTGAATTGAAACTGGAGAGGTGTTATATTATGTTCACAGTAACAATGTGAATGATGCAGAAACAAATTATCACATTTACAATAGATGCAGTGCAAGGACCTGGATATCACACCTCTGTATACTATTGTGTCACCATCAGAACTGTCTGTACCAGAGGTCGGTATCTAATGCCTTGTCACATTTATTCTTACCTTTTCAATCATATCTATTTGGTCATTTCATGCCAAATTGGTGTCTTGTTAGCTAGCAGAGTTGTAGTATAGTTTGTGTTCAGACAAGCATTTCAATAATATAACTTTGGTGTTATATAAACCTGCAAAAACACTTGGACACTTGGGGTCACTGTAAACACAATGATGGACAATTATCACTTTCTTAAGCACTAAGAGTTGCAGACTTAGACATCCACCAGATAGTAAGCAGATATAGAGGAAGCTTTAATAACTTTAATTTGGAGTTGAGTTTGTGTCTACCTGATGACTATTTGTCAAATCTTAACTCTATTTGTCTAAATGTTTGGTCCCAACAAAACCCTTAGAGAAATTACTGGGTCTCTACTAGGTTCCCTGGCTATCACCAATTGATGCTGAGCAGGTAGTATTCAAATGTTTGTTGTTGTTAAGCTTTTTACTGAAAACGGCAATACGAGCTTTGAGAGTGAAACACTGATGTTTAGAGATATAAAAATGCACTCAGATGCTAACAGTCTCCTGAGCTGAGGGGAGCTGCAGAAGTGGGTGATATTTCTCTGTGTTCATCACTAAAAGCGGCCTCTTTGAAATACAAGTACTCGTGTTATACCTTGGAGGGTTTGTTTTGCCCTAGTGTTAGGCACTTCAAGACTGATTAAAAAGTTGCAGTGATTTATGTCACTGGACCGCCAAGAGACAAAAAAAAGTAAAACAGTGAAACATCCCTCAAACTGGATCAATCTGGAAGTGACGGTGATCTTTTTCGGTTGGAGGCGCGGCCCTGTCTCTGCAGAAAGGTTAACACATTCCCACATGCTTTCTCCATCCGTCATGGATACGCATGCACACACACACACACACACACACACACACACACACACACACACACACACACACACACACACACACACACACACACACACACACACACACACACACACACACACACACACACACACGGGTTGCCAGGTTGTCTTTGTTCTCTATCGAAGTAACAGACTGACAAAGACTGACACACTTTTATTAGATGAGGGATTGCAGGGACCCTCATTCCTCATCAGTTTCGACACATTCACCTTCTATTTCAGTTTGACACATGAATTAAAAAAGTATATGTGAGCCTGCGCAAAGAAATGTTTGTTACTATATTATTTTCTCCCTGATAATGAGCTGCAACCACCAGAGTTACAGCAGTGCTAAAAAGCTGTGGCCTTACTGTGTGTGATGTGTTATTCATGATTCCCTCCTCCGGCGCAGACTCACTTGAATTCATCCCCACCTGCAGTCTGTCTCACGGCTGCCAACACGCACCAGGTGTTTATGTTTTCAAACGAGCCTTTTTCTAATTGAGTACAAAGGTTTTTATTTTAAATTTAACGATAATAAGGCAACTGACCTTGCATGCTGTTGAAATATAACATTGGAGGGATGAATAATGTGGGATGAATGCTACAGTATGTATTGAAAATATGCTTGAAGGCAGGTGGGCAGAATTAAGCGTGGCCTTCTGTTTAATAGGCCACCCTTCATGCTGGAGTAGATGTCCGAGCGCCGACCTTTAACCTTTGTGTGTCTGTCTTTGCCCGGTTAATCCTGCAGAGGTTAATCACATGGTAATACGAGCCCTGGAGTTCAGACCTCTCCTCAATGAGGGGCCAGTCAGGAGAGGACAGGGGTGATTCTGTAAATGTAGGTCTATGCTGCTCTCTTTCATATATTTTTTACACTTCCTGATACGCCTCTTTCATCATTAGTCTCATTTCCGCACTCCCCCACTAGACGTGAAGCTCAGGTGATTTGCCTTGGCTTAACTGAAATGACAGCTTTTAAGCTCTGCTAATAGGAATCCACTGAGGAAGCATCAAGAGCTTAGGTTATCCCAGGCTGCACAGGAACATGCTTCCTCATCTGAGGGCTGTCTGGCCTCACTGCTGCAAAACCCACACAATGTGCCCATCAGGGGACAGTATGTGTTGAATAATAAAATATATATTCGCTCTAACTTTTCTTTACTTGTGAACATTAAAACAGAGCAATAACCATTTGTGCCACCTTCCCAAAAGTTATCTGAGAAAACTGCTGAAAACTGCAATTATTTAAAAAAAAATACTATCTAACCAAGTCCAAAATCAACAATATACAGTAATTGATACATAGGCCATATACAATTAAAACATGACATTTTTCCTATATTAGTCTTATGAAATGGCTTTGTTTGTTTCTATCAATTTGGTAGAGGAACACGCCACTTTGACGGTTTCAACAAATCACAAGGGTTAAGAAAAAGTAGTTGTAATGTCAAACTCTCCATATAATGCTCACATTAGCATATA